AGAGATAGAGAGAGAGAGAAGGAGAAGGGGCAAAGAAGGAAGAGGACAAGAGAGAAATATATGAGTAGAGCGGCAGCAGTCGGTAGGGAGAGGAGAAGAGCGAGGAAAGGAAAGAGAGACGAAAGAAGGAGGACAGGGAGCGAGAGCAACAATAGTAAAGAGAAGAGCACTCGAATAGAGAGCGAGGAGAGAGATAAGAGAAGAGAGACAGAGAGAGTAGCGCGAGAGAGAGAGAGGTTCAGAGATGAGAGCGAGATAGGAACAGAGAGAGAGCACAGAGGAACGAGAGCGAAAAAGAGCAGGGCGAGAGAGATAGGAGAGAGATAGAGGGGCACGAGAGAGCACCCGCGAGAGATAGAGAGAGAGCGAGAGAGGAGAGCGAGAGAGAGAGACGAGGAGCAGAGGAGAGGAGACGGTAAAGGTCAGAGGGAAAGAGCGGAGGAGTCTGTAGCAATCGACACACGAGATAGTAGCTAAGAGGCACATACAGAAAGTGGGTTCGGAGATAGAACAGGGGGAGCGCCCTAGCTGAGAGCGAGAATAGGAGCGCTACGATACAGAGATAGAGAGGCGGAGAGCGTAGCTAACTAAACGAAAACCGGAACACACAGAGCGCCAAGAGAAGAGAAGGGGGACAACTAAGATCAACGCGAGAAGTGCAGACATGCAAGATAGGCCGCAGTAGAGTTATAGAGGAGAGAGTGCGAAGCTAGATATGATAGATCTGAGAGATGTTCGCGACAAACGAGTAGAGCAAGGAGGAGAGATCGCGATAGGGCAGAGCGCGAGCTGACACCTCATAACGTGGGGGAGGGGTTGTCTGACTTCCTGAGGTACTTGCTCTGTGGTTAGCAGTATTCTGTAGGGGAAATGAGTTACGGTGCCGAGCGAACGATGGGGAGCTTCCATCTCGGGTATGTGCTGCTTCTCTCAGATTCATCCCAATAGCCCCCTGCTGCTAGCTAGACTTACCGTGCCAATAAGACCGTCATCTCGACGCCCGCGTCTCCGCTCGGCTCTCAGCTCCGTCTATCGAAGTGTGCATGGATGGCGCTCCTGGCACAAATAGTTGGTGGGTCCGTTGTGGCTGTTCGGTTTGCCCGAGATCTGTCTCGATCGCTCTATCTCTCTCTTCTCTCTCTCTCTCTCTCTCTCTCTCTCTCTCTCTCTATCTCTCTCTCTCTCTATCTCTCTCTCTTCTCTATCTCTCTTCTCTCTCTCTCTCATCTCTCTCTTCTCTCTCTCTCTCTCTCTCTCTCTCTCTCTCCTCTCTCTCTCTTCTCCTCTTCTGCTCGCGCATCTTCTCTTCTTCTCTCTCCTTTCTCTCTTGCTCTTTCCGCCTCTCCCTCTCCTCTCTGCTCTCTGCTAGCTGCTCTCTCGCCTCTCTCTTATGCTCTTCTTCTTCTCTCTCTTCTACTACTCTCTCTCTTTTGTCTTTTTCTTTGCTTCCCTTTCTCTCTTCTCTTCTTCTCTATCCCTCTCTTGCTCTATCCCCTCTCTCTCTCTTTCCCCCTTTTCCCTCCTCTTCTCCCCCTCCTCTCCTCTTTTTCTTCCTTTCCCCTCCTCTTCCCAACATTTTGCACCAGAAGTTGATCAACAATGCAGACATATACTTCATTGTAGTTCCGTGCCATATGCTCCAGGTATTTGGAAGTGAGTGTCTTGGCAAGGGCTTTCTTAGGGTGCAGATGGAGCGGCAAGGAGGAACCGGAAGGCCACAGAACACAGAACTAGTTCCAGTTCGAGAAGGAAGTGGGTGAACTGGACACTACTCCTCGACTACAGTGGCCAACAATGGACACACCAGAGGACATAGATCTTCTACCCTAACTGAACTGAAAGCGCGCAGAAAAGTGCTGGAAAAGTGCTGAAAAAAAATTACTGAAGCAGACAGAGGTAGATATGTGCAAAATTATTTATACCGAAAAAAGAAAAGGAAGAGAAATGGAAAAACGCGGAGAAGAAAAAAAAAAAAAAAAATAAAATGTAAAGAGAAACAAGCCATTTCAAGGGCAGACCAAACTTAGGTTGAAATCCGTGCTGTTAAAAAACGGTCCTTATTTTTCTCCTCTTTAGAAGAAGAAAGGGGAAAAGTTTGATATGGCAAGGCCGCGGCACATCCGAGGCAAGTAGAACGGGGAAGAATGGAACAGTGAAAGCAGAATTGTCCTTCGAGAAGAGCAGCAAGAGAGAGAGAAAAACAACAAGTAGAATCATAAAGAGAGAAATAAGAGGAAAAAAACGAAGATAAGAGAAGAGAAGAGGAGAAGAGGGCCGAGGAACAGAGAAAAGAGGAAGTGAGGGAAGTTTTTATTGTCAGAAATTTGTGAACTCTCTTTTCGCCCCTTTTTTTTTTCCCTATCCCTTTTGGTCTTTTCCGTTCTCTTCGCTTTCCATCTTCATCATCTGCCTTTCTCTTTCTCGCCAATTACCAAGCCCTTTCTTAGTGGTCCTCCCTCTCTATTCCTCTCTTATATTATTACCTTCCCCTGAATCCTCT